AAAAAAAAAAATCTGTTAGCTACTTATAATGTAGATCTTGCTAAGTATTTATCTAATAGAAACTAAATTCCTATTTTTAACAAGGCTACTAAACGGTCTTTAGATTATAGGAGATGGCAGTTAGCAGTCATAATGGTGTATAAGAAAAACTCACTCAACAGGTTTACTGCTAAATAGTGGCTTTGCTGGGATACACACAAGCAAAAAATAAAAAGATATATCTTTGGAATAAATGTAAGGTACAATGAAACTAGAAAAAAAGTCTAGCTAAGTATACAATATGAACCAACAACAATAAAACTACAATAAATGGACCTATTTGATTCTTAGGTATTGGGTTTGTTTTGTATAAAACTGATTTGCTTTAATTTCCAGAAATATCAATGATCACGTAATCCAACTACACTTCCTGTCACAAGCAGAGGGATTAAGTGGCTTGTAACTTTGCGTACCTACAGAATGCATGGGATCCAAGATTATATTCTCCTAAAGTATATTTCTAAGGAATAAAAGGGACCATAAAATGTTGTGAAAAATTCTGAAATTATCCCCTTCTAAGTATTCAATAAACAATAACAAAATAAGCCTGCAGACACAAAACTTATTCAGGACTTAAAGAACTAAGAGTGACCACTGAAAGTAAATTGCTAAACACATCTACACAGAAACATTAACTCCAAAAGCAATGATAAGCTAACATAGTCAAGCAACATCTATCCTAATATGGCATGTAAAAACCCCTCTTTTTACACATGATATTTCATTTAATCAAAATTTATAGGAATAGCCTGACACAAGAATCAGCAGTATACTGTCTATACCTGCTGCCAAGCCAGCTAACAATGACCAGAGAATCTCTCAGAAATCATGGTTTATTATCTCACCAGAGATGGGTAGCTCAATAAAAACCAGCATGGATATTAGTAAGGAAAAGAGAAAGTTTTTTTTTTATAGTAGACATGTATTATAACTCTAGCAAGAAAAAAAATTTACTCAAAGACCTAACTTGTTCATATAGAAAATTAATCATGAATGCTGTTTGATTTTTTTTAAAGGAATCTATATAGCTAAAAATTACCCTGAGGATGAAGATAGGTAAAGGTTTTATTTTTCAGAGATAAGAAAAGCTTTTTAAAGAAATTAGCTACTAAAACCCCACACTCGTCCCATATACAATTGTATTTGAGGCCAAGCACATTTTTAAAATATACTACACATAATATTTCACATAATATGTATGAGGAACCAGTCCTTGAATGTGAAGAGTGACAAAATTAACTATAGTGTACATGGGTAAGCCCCTCTGCAGCCACTAAAGGAGATTCACTCTCTGAAATCCCATCTCATTTGTCCCAATAAGACCTAGGTCAAGACATGAGGGCCAAATGAAATGCCCCTTCCTATTTGACTGGAATCTTTTTCACTTTCATATACCTGGAACATGGCAAGAACCAAAAAAGCTGGCTAAATAGCACCCACCCTCTCTCCCAAGTAATAGTACCACCCAACTATGCCCACTTAAAACCAGAACAGCACAGGCATGATCTTCACTCAACCACATCAGAGGCTGGCTTTGACCATACCTCCCGCTTTAAAGAAAATGACTCAGAAGGGCACCGAGGTCATGAAGCTGGTATCTACTGGAGGCAGGATGCAAAAGACATTTCATCTGATAGGAACCCCTTACTCTGGCAAAGGCGGACACAGTGAGTAGAGGAAAACCTATAAATAAAAATTCAAGCTCTACTGAAAGGCTGAATTAAAATAAAACAAGTGATTAAAAAACAGTAACGGGGGAGGGGAAGTACACGGGACTATGGTGATAGCACACGGGTGACTCGGTGATGGGAAACCCATGGGGATTACAATTGAGATGAAAAAAAAAATGTACAAAATGATGTAAAAATAAACTATTATATTATTAAAAAAAACCAGTAACTATGCTGCTGGAACAAAATGAATGTACTCTTTTTTAGGAATATAAATGGATCTTAGGAAAATAAATAAACTTTAAACCTTATACATATTTTTGAAACACGTCAAATTTTATTTTCAAACTCCAAGGCCAAGCAGTTATTTCAAAGTATAAGTCACCATATGGCCTACCTTAGTCCTATTTAAAAGCAGCCAAATGTTCAGGTTAACTTTTAGAACTACCATGTAGGTTTAACCACATTTTACATTATTAGTAAAGTAAACATTTTACTTAAAGGTTGCAAACAACCCTCAAACCCCTTGTAGGAAGTCATTCTTCATAGAGCTGTTCTGTGAAGCTCATTGGACACCAGCCTGTGCCCGCAGGCATGCCCTAGGGACTCCAGGCTGACTGTTTCTGTGTAAAGACACACAACAGAAACTGTCTTTCCTGTTCTGCTCCTAAGCACAGGGCTGACCTAAAGCTTCCACTACCACTGGTTCCCTAACATTTCAATTCCAAAACCACACTTTATTTTAATAAACTAATTTCTAGAATTAACATTTCCTATGACCAGGCCATACATTTCATTTGGGGAAGAAAAAAAAAGTAGAGACACACTCCTAAGAGTTGTTTGCAATTTATAAATCACAACCCTGGTGTCAGGTGTCCTTAGAATGGTGAGTAATGTAATACTTCGCAGAAAATGCTACTGAACATGTGAGGGTGTGTAAACGCGCACAATCACAAACTTAAAAATTGAGTGAGGGACAGAATAGGTGACGGAGTAAAAAGAAAGGGGAAGAGGCCAAGATTCAACCCAATCGGGCTTTGAGTCTTTTATGACACATGGTAGAAATACAGACAACAAGTGCTTTGCAGTTGATGATAAATTAGAAATTTGGAAGAGGATTCCACACACAATAAATGAAAACATGAAAAAAAGTAAAAGCAAGTATTAAACAGTTGTGACAACACAGAAAGGGAACTCTCCAAATGGTGGCAGTAGTTGGTGGAATTCAAAATCATGGGGGACTACAAACACAGGGAAACTGACTGAGTACACGATTTACTGTAACAAACAAGTTCATGGGTAATAAAGTGAAAATTGTTGCAGAGTTGTAAAAAATTAAAATTCATGAATAAACTGAGGTCAATTGACTTGAGGTCAATTAAGTAAGTAAATGAGAAAAATCACAAGACTATATAAAAGAAGGTAATTCT